GGCATCACAAACGTCACCTGGTTTCATTTGTAATTTCTAACATTTAAAACCATTTTCTCTTTTGCTAAAATCTGAGATTGAGGCCAATGCATATTTGATAAATGTCCACATCACTACACTTTATTTGCAATTCTTGAAAATAGTCAGCAACTTGTATTAACATTTTATAATGTGATGCACCAATTTCTTTTAAATTTAATTTATAGACTTTGAAATTACCTTCACAATAGTTCAATCAAGGCACAGTCAGGGTAAACATTGCAGAGGAAGAAAAATGTAAAAATGTGTTTCATGTCTCCTTCTCTCTGTATGTTCCCTCTATACTGACTGCCAGGTGTAAAGGGCGGAGCTTATAGCAATGATTGACAGGGAGCTAAGATGGAGGCGGCTTTCTCTATACTGACTGCCAGGTGTAAAGGGCGGAGCTTATAACAATGATTGACAGGGAGCTAAGATGGAGGCAGCTCTCTCTATACTGACTGCCAGGTGTAAAGGGCGGAGCTTATAGCAATGATTGACAGGGAGCTAAGATGGAGGCGGCTTTCTCTATACTGACTGCCAGGTGTAAAGGGCGGAGCTTATAACAATGATTGACAGGGAGCTAAGATGGAGGCAGGCTCTAATGGGCGGAGCTTATAACAATGATTGACAGGGAGCTAAGATGGAGGCGGCTCTCTCTATACTGACTGCCAGGTGTAAAGGGCGGAGCTTATAACAATGATTGACAGGGAGCTAAGATGGAGGCGGCTCTCTCTATACTGACTGCCAGGTGTAAAGGGCGGAGCTTATAACAATGATTGACAGGGAGCTAAGATGGAGGCGGCTCTCTCTATACTGACTGCCAGGTGTAAAGGGCGGAGCTTATAACAATGACTGACAGGGAGCTGAGATGGAGGCGGCTTTCTCTATACTGACTGCCAGGTGTAAAGGGCGGAGCTTATAACAATGATTGACAGGGAGCTAAGATGGAGGCGGCTCTCTCTATACTGACTGCCAGGTGTAAAGGGCGGAGCTTATAACAATGATTGACAGGGAGCTAAGATGGAGGCGGCTTTCTCTATACTGACTGCCAGGTATAAAGGGCGGAGTTTATAACAATGACTGACAGGGAGCTAAGATGGAGGCGGCTCTCTCTATACTGACTGCCAGGTGTAAAGGGAGGAGCTTAAAAACAATGACTGACAGCGAGCTAAGATGGAGGTGGCTCTCTCTATACTGACTGCCAGGTGTAAAGGGCGGAGCTTATAAAAATGATTGACAGGGAGCTAAGATGGAGGTGGCTCTCTCTATACTGACTGCCAGGTGTAAAGGGCGGAGCTTATAACAATGATTGACAGGTAGCTAAGATGGAGGTGGCTCTCTCTTTACTGACTGCCAGGTGTAAAGGGTGGAGCTTATAACAATGATTGACAGAGAGCTAAGATGGAGGTGGCTCTCTCTATGCTGACTGCCAGGTGTAAAGGGCGAAGCTTATAACAATGATTGACAGGGAGCTAAGATGGAGGTGGCTCTCTCTATACTGACTGCCAGGTGTAAAGGGCGGAGTTTATAACAATGATTGACAGGAAGCTAAGATGGAGGTGGCTCTCTATACTGACTGCAAGGTGTAAAGGGCGGAGCTTATAAAAATGATTGACAGGGAGCTAAGATGGAGGTGGCTCTCTTTATACTGACTGCCAGGTGTAATGGGCGGAGCTTAAAACAATGATTGACAGGGAGCTAAGATGGAGGTGGCTCTCTCTATACTGACTGCCAGGTGTAATGGGTGGAGCTTATAACATTGATTGACAGGGAGCTAAGATGGAGGTGGCTCTCTATGCTGACTGCCAGGTGTAAAGGGCGGAGTTTATATCAATGGTTGACAGGGAGCTAAGATGGAAGCGGCTCTCTCTATACTGACTGCCAGGTGTAAATGGTGGAGCTTATAACAATGATTGACTGGGAGCTAAGATGGAGGTGGCTCTCTCTATACTGACTGCCAGGTGTAAAGTGCGGAGCTTATATCAATGATTGACAGGGAGCTAAGATGGAGGTGGCTCTCTCTATACTGACTGCCAGGTGTAAAGGGCGGAGCTTATAACAATGTTTGACAGGGAGCTAAGATGGAGGTGGCTCTCTCTATACTGACTGCCAGGTGTAAAGGGCGGAGCTTATAACAATGACTGACAGGGAGCTAAGATGGAGGCGGCTCTCTCTATACTGACTGCCAGGTGTAAAGGGCGGAGCTTATATCAATGATTGACAGGGAGCTAAGATAGAGGTGGCTCTCTCTATATTGACTGCCAGGTGTAAAGGGCGGAGCTTATATCAATGATTGACAGGGAGCTAAGATGGAGGCGGCTCTCTCTATACCAGTGATGGCGAACCTATGGCACGCGTGCCACAGGTGGCACGTCGGGCCCTTTCTGTGGGCACGCGGCCACAGGTTCGCCATCAATGCAGAGTAGGCGCCTGTCTGCCCGAAACGGCAGGCGCCTACTCTGCTTCCGGGTCGGGAGGCAGGGGGAGGGCTCTGTGATGCAGCTCCCCTGTCCTCCCGCGCGATGCTGTGTGGAGCGTTGCCGCGCGTTACCATGGCAACGCTCCACACAGCATTGCGCGGGAGGACAGGGGAGCTGCTTCCTGGAGCCCTCCCCCTGCAGTGCTTACCACCACCGGACCACCAGGGATCGCTGTCCCCCCCCTCCCCCCCTACTTCATTAAAGGTAAGAAGGAGGGAGGGGGGGTATACTGACACACAGCACCCTAACCCCCCCAGCAGTACCCCTACCCCCCAGCACCCCTCCCCTCCCCAGTAGTAACCCCTACCCTCCCAGCAGTAACCCCTACCCCCCCAGCACCCTAACCCCCCCAGCAGTACCCCTACCCTCCCAGCGGTGCACCCCTACCCCCAGCACCCCTCCCTCCCAGTGACTACAGTAGCCCTACCCTCCCAGCGGTAACCCCTACCCCCACACACAGCACCCCTAACCCCCAGCGTGGCTTCCTACCCCCCCAGCAGTACCCCTACCCCCCACACACAGTACCCCTACCCCCACGCAGCACCCTTACACATATAGCACACACACAGCACCCCCACATACAACACTCACACACACACGCACCCCCCACCTCAATGCAGTATGTGTGTATTCAGCAGTGTGTGTGTGTGTGCGTGTATTCAGCAGTCTGTGTGTGTTTGCGTGTATTCAGTGGACTGTGTGTGTGTACTCAGCAGTCTGTGTGTGTGTATTCAGCAGTGTGTGTGTATTCAGCAGTGTGTGTGTATTCAGTGTGTGTGTACTCAGCAGTCTGTGTGTGTGTGTACTCAGCAGTCTGTGTGTGTGTGTACTCAGCAGTCTGTGTGTGTGTGTGTACTCAGCAGTCTGTGTGTGTGTGTGTACTCAGCAGTCTGCGTGTGTGTGTACTCAGCAGTCTGTGTGTGTGTGTGTGTGTGTACTCAGCAGTCTGTCTGTATGTGTATTCATCAGTCTCTGTATGTGTATTCATCAGTCTCTGTATGTGTATTCATCAGTCTCTGTATGTGTATTCATCAGTCTCTGTATGTGTATTCATCAGTCTCTGTATGTGTATTCATCAGTCTCTGTATTCAGCAGTCTTGTGTGTGTGTATTCAGCAGACTGTGTGTGTGTATTCAGCAGACTGTGTGTATGTATTCAGCAGTCTGTGTGTGTATGTATTGCATTTGTTGGAGATACTAATAAATATAAGCTTAATTTTATCTATTTATATAATTATTTAAAATTTGTAT